TTTTTTTACGATCTGTTGCAGGCACTGTTCTATTATCGGGTTATTGCAGTCCCGCGAACGTTATTACTGAAAGATTGGTGACAATGTGATGAGTCTCTGGTGTCGATTCTGCATTTTTGGGTTTCTCTGACAGCTTTATAGTTTGTGAGAAGGTTGGCAAAATCGATGAGTGAGACCCTAAACAGACATCATGTGGGGGTAAGGACCGTTTAAAAGGTGCGTGAACACAGAGCGAGAAATGAAGCGATGAAATAAAACAGTTTATTAAATAAGGATGAGTCCAGGAGGGGGGTTTAAACACGAGTTTCGTCGTTAATATTTTTAAAACCTAATATGTGTGTCGTCACTTTTTTGTGTCTTGTGTCGGTGTGCAGAATCTCTCCCTGCGCGGAGCAAACACAACCCCGCTTATAGTCGGAGCAGCTCTGTGGTGCTTTTGGTTGCTGCTGCGCCTCATCGCCATAGTTGCCTGCTGGTTGTCATGAGGGCTGGCTTCACAGCCGCCATGAGTTATGAAGGGCTGCAGTGTTTCCAGAGTGATTTACGGGGTTTACCTATGGGCTGACCAGCTTACGCAGTGCTACGGCTAGATACCGACACATAAGACCCCGTTATCCAAGATAACAAATTAGATGTCAAATAAGTAAAGTAACACTTTACTGTTAAGACTCGCCCCATGTACGTTCATAACAACATGTATGAATGTGTTGTCAACAGCTGTAACCGCCTATGGGCACTACAATACATGTATAAAGAGATAATGGAAGTGAGGAAATACTATAGTTTCAACGCAACATGTGAGCGTGTCTAATCGATAAGAGGGTCAAATACTGCATAGGAGAATTTAACGTTTAAATAAATGACTCTGAGCAGCCATGCGCGCCCTTTGATATGTCTGCACATGCTACCGGATTGATAGTTATCTAAATGTTGCTTATGTATATGTGCTTGTAAAACATGCGTACAACAGGGGGTCGAACGAGTCGAGGTTACCAGAAGTACTATTAGGTATATCTATATGAAAATATTGTTTATAAGCCAGTTTAATTTATGTTTATTAGTTGAATATTTGCCCCTCCACGTGCTTGTGTTTTCGCCACCTGAAAATATGGAGGAAATTGGTTGTGTAGGTAAAGCGTCGATAGGAAACACCAAGACTCCTGCGTTTACAGCTGCCAAAAGAGGTAAATTAAATTTAAAAAGTGTCAACTGCAGTGCACAATAATCGTTACAGCCTGTGTGTTGACATTACAAGTAGTCACGTAATGTATTGCTCAGTGGATTACGAAGCTTGTTATATAGTATTATTAAAGCGTTATCGAATACATACGTATTATATATACACACACACACAAGTGAATCTTGTATTGAGAAGATGTTTGATCTTTAAACGAAAGGTGAGTTTCTCCGGTGGGCTTTTGCTGGTTTCCTAAATGTTTTAATTCCAGACGTTTTTTTTTTGTTTTTTTTTTACTCCAGAGATTTAATCATCAGACCGTAACACCTTGCTAACTCTTTCTGCATGGGAGGAGGGTTTCACTCTCTCTGTGTGTTGACTTGTGGGGTAAAAGCTGTTTGTTTTTGGGCTGATTGGGTGATCTGGTGTTCTTACTAATTCTTAATATGTTTGTTAAAGACGTAGTCCCAAACTAGACTTTTCCTTAGTATGTTTGAGGTAGTTTAATCGTGTCTACCTCGCATGCTCCAGCCACGTCTCTTCATCTCAATGAGATAACCACATATTGACCCAATGAATGTGAGAAATTAGCGCTGAGATTTATTCTGAAGTGCGAGTAAAAGCTGGCCGCTCCTGTTTAGCTGTTGGATGGTTTGAGCCTGTGAGCTGAAGTGCTAATTGTCTTTGGGGTTGCTGTTTTGCACTGGTGCCAGTCACTTTCCTCCATTACTGTGTGTTAACACAACTAATTTCACTTTCTATTAACATCATTGATTGTCTTGTTGTCAGCATGTTGTCTTGTCACTGTTAATCATCCTTTGCCACTAACACTCAACTAACCTGATCTGTGTTCTTCATCACCAGTTTTTTGTTTGTTTGGTCAACAGAAATGTTTCGAGGCGTCACGTTGACACAGTTCGGTCACCTTGAAATGTTTGAAGAATATACAGTGTCTCTACTAGAGGTGCACTGATGTTTTGTTAGGTTTTTATGTTTTACAATCATGGACTGAAAGTTGAATGGATAGACTGATGCAAGTATTGATCCATCTGCATCGAACAAGTATTTTCATTAGCGATTATTCTATATTAATAAATTATTTGTTTGTTCTGTGAAACTTAAAATAGAACGACATTAACATTATAATTTCCCAAAACTCAAGGTGAAGTCTTAACTAGCTTTTTTTTGTTTAACCAACAGTCTAAAACCCGAACAAAACAGACTAAAGAACACAACAACAGACTCGACTAAAGAAGATATGATATTTATTTAATTATTAAATGCTAACAGAAAAAGTGGTGATGATTCTGAATGTGTCAGAACAACCAACAAGGAGACTGAACATTTAGTTAATTTGTTTCAACACAGCGTAACATCACACAAGTCTCATTGGCAAAAACAGAATAAATAACTTCCAACTGAAACAAATACTGGCTTGACTCCCTGTGTTACAAGAGAAAAGGTCCATGTTGCAACAATCCCCTGATACTTTAGTCCCGCTGATGAGGCGCGGCAACCAAATGGAGTTTGGTGTTGTTTATGTTTTTCTGTGACTATCTGACTAATAGAAAAGCGTGTTGACTGAGACTCCTCACATCAACGATTAATTCCACTGTTAGAGGGCAGCCCTAGTTTCCAATGATGTAGAACGGAAAAACAGTCATCACAATGGAAGAACATGGGATATTTGGCATTTTAAAACAAACTTTAATGATTTATTGATTATCAAAATTATCAAAACATTTTCTCTCAATGAACTAATTGCTTTAATAATTGTTGCAGCTCTAGTGAAGACAATATAATAGTTGTATTTGTGTTGCACGGAGCACAAGTAGTAGTAGTTTGTAGTAGCAGAGAGACGACTAAAAAAGATAGTTACACGTAAAACCCACGATGAGGTAGAAAACGTATAAATAAATATAAATTATCTAGTTTTATGTGAACAAATGCATCTAGTAGTCAAACAAGAAGGTGATTGTATATAAAGAAAAGAACCCAAATTAAAAAGAACAATCCTTTAAGTCGGGCCTATTTAATCAGCATGTACTACAACACATTTAAATATTATCCTCTATAACTGTTTACATTGTGCCAAAGTGCTTTGTTTAATGATTTGTACTCCTTTTTAACCTTAAATATCATCGGTGCACCTCTAGTCTCCTCTGTTTTCAGTATCTCTGCCAAAACAGTGGGATCTGCCATGCACTTTGTTCCAGGGTTTCATGCTCATCTGCTCATTGTTTTATTTTTGTCTTGTGCTCCATTATTTGTTTGTTTGTCTCCATTTGACTGTGCACAAATGGTTGCTCGACACCATGGCAAATCGTAACCCTAAAAATAGATGTACGTCCTTGGAAAGCGTGAGCTCTCAGGCTCCGAAGCCACGAAAGAAGGTGGAGTCCCGCCTGGAGGGCTTCAGGTCTACCAGTCCCTCGGGTCCACTACAGGTAGGAGCTGGGGGACAGAAAAATCCACTGGCTGCCACCATTTACTGGGAAACTGTGGCATTTATGTTGTTTGTCCAAATGAAATAGCCTTCATCCTTATTCCTGCACACTGATTCAGGGAAATTTACAGTATTTGCTGCTGGTCTGTCTTAAAAACCTTAATATGAGTTCAGCTATATTAATTTATATCACATTTGTTAACAAACAAACACAAACAAACAAACAAACTGCAACATAATAAATAAGTAGAATTAAAGAAAAAACAAGTTAAAACCACCTGGAAAAATGATTGTTCATGACTGAAAACAACAGTTTAACATATTTTGTATTTGGCTTTAATGTCTGTGTGCTAACTGTGAAGTTACAGCTGGTTAGCTTAGCTTAGCACAAAGACTGTAAACAGAGGGAAACAGCTAGCCTGGCTCTGTGAAATGGTAAAATCTTTCTAAGATCACTAATTAATATATCTAATTTCTTTAATCTGTCCAACATCCAACGTGCAAAAACCTCTCTGGAGAAGGACAATACATTTCCACCATCTTCACGGACAATTAAGTTGTATTATAATTTATTCTGTTTTCTTCTGTTCATCTTCATTTACTACAAATTGTAAAATGGAACTGAACAGCAGCGTTCACCACATTTTCCTCAACTGAGAACCCATTTAAAATATATTTAATCATGTCCAAGGAGGAACCTTTTTTCTATCACAGTTTATTTTCAGTTTGTTAAAACCTGTGTCCTGTGTAATGAATCAGGCTGTTTGATTACATTGTATAAAGACCTATGAAACAACATTGTCTCTTTAGTTGTATGAAAATATTATTTTTTAAGGAGAGAGTTTTTTTTTTTTTACTTCGGCTACTTACTACTTACTACTTACTACTTAATTATCAAAAAACATAGACTAATCAATTAATTGACCAAATGGTTTCAGCTCTACTTTTTAA